TTAATAGTTTATAATAAAATATGATAATTGGCTAGACAAGTAAAGAAACTGTTTAGTCAACGAAATATATACACTACAAATAATTTAATATAAAATAATATATTTAAAATAAAATATAAATATAGTTAATATCATATACTAACTAATAATTAAACAAAAGTAAGCACAAGAAAAGAAAACAGTAACTTAAATTATTTAGAACTTCGTAAAAGACTAAACTGTTACATAAGTATGTTTTGTTAGCTCCAAGATAAATCATATCCTTTCCAGTTTGCGTTTGGTGCTAAGTAAACTCGTCTTTTTTGATAATAAAATGAAACTATGCCATGATAGCCAGTGCGAGGAACACCACTCTGTATTATATAGATATTCAAATATAGTAATTTATTTTGTAATTTAATATATTTATTACCTTGAAATCATCCATCAAGCCCAGCATTCTTGTAGTTAGCTTATACTGTGTACTTGTGGTGTACTGAATTCGTACTGGTCCATCTGTTTTAATGAGATTCCTTCTTAGTTCGTCATAAGTAACAATTGGATAAGTATAGATTTTAGATAAAAATATGCGATCATAATTTTCCTAAAATTTCATAATAATTAAAAAAATAAATATAAATATTAGGAAATTGTAATTTTTTAAAAATTACAGTATATATTTACTTACTTTAAGTAGATAACTGAGATTCAGTTTAGTGAATTTTACAAAATCTTCACTGAGCTTAATGTGTTTCAGATATTTGTCAAAAAATAAGCCACTTTAAATATAAAAATATATTAGCTAATTTAATTTAATTAATTAAACCGACAAGCTTACTTGGACACTCCAATTTTACCAAAGGTTTGAGTTCTAGAGATTTCTGGCCTAATACACACGCGATCTTTGCGTTGCTCAGGGTGACGAATCCAGTCATCCCAAAATCTAAAATAATTACAATTTTGTTAAAAAATTATGTTTATAAAAATAATATATATATATATAAATATTATTTAGTTTAAAGCATAACAATGTTTTTAAATATTTATGTTATTTTATTGGATTTCTTAAGCGAGTTTAGTTTCCTTGCAATGATAACATAATAGATAAAAGTCTGGTACAAATCATTGTAACTGATTATTAGTTTCAATATTTAGATTTTCATTGCAACCGAAGAGTCATCTATGATACATTATACATCACATTATTGATACATTATTTTTTTTAAGATTCCATATATATAACAAATTAGTTCATAAAAAGTTTCTTCCTTATGCATGCAGACAAGGGAAGCAGGGGATCATTATAAAGACATCTATTCTTAACATGCCTTTCAACTACAACTATATTCTACATTAGTCTTTCATTCTCTAAATACTCAACAGCACATATCAACTAGAAATATGCTCCAAATATCTCAGTTTAAATTTTAAACTTTATAAGGTCTCAATAGTGACTAAAACAGATGTTCAATATATATAATTCCATTGCTAGAACCTAGTTTTCATTTTTAGAGTATTTTCTTATAAATTATAGTCAAAAGCTTTAAGTTTAAATACTTATTGCAATACACAACTGATTAAAAACTACACTGAAATTAGTTCAAGTGTATAAATGTGTTTCTTTTGTATTGCAAATTAAGCTTTTGATATTTTAAAACTTTATATAGTACAAACATAAATTCATATATATGTATAAATGCAATATTATCATATCAAAACTAATCAGAAATATTTTTACACAATATACAATATTCTTGCTGCAACTAATTATAGCTATTTATATTAATAATTGTTCAATTATAAAATTTTAATATGAAGATAATTATAAAAATTACAAACTTACGATTTAGGCCACTTTACTGACAATTCTTGCCATAACTCTTTGGTTAGCATCCAACCAAGACCAGGGAAAAAATCTGTGCGATATAATAATTCAGGTTGTGATGTATCAATAAAATTGGCTTTGCCATTGTCATTCCAAGCTGAAACACACCTATAAAAAACAATAATTAAAATATATTCGAACTGCAGAAAAATAATTAAATTATTTTACCAGAGCGTTGGATCTTGTTTTAATAGTTTGTGTGTGCCAAGGAAATATTCAAAGAAGTCTGGTGCTATATTTAAATCATCTTCGACTATTACAACAAATTCATAACCTTTATGGAATGTTGTATTCAGTGCCCAACCATAGTGCCGAGCTATTTTATAATAACCTTTGAACTTTTTCTCCTTCGGTGGTACATATATATCAGACTGATCGGGTTGCTCAATGAGTGACACTGTAGATTTAAATGATAATATGACATTTTTGGTTGCTTCATCACCACAATCCTGAAATTATGATATTTAAATATTTTACAAAATCAAGTATTACCAAATAAATATTAAATTAAAATATATCTTTTACCTGTGATACAATAATTGGAAATTGTTCCGCACTCGGTCGATATTGAACTAAATTGTTGAGACATTTGGAGATTGATACACGATTACAGGCAAATACTAGAATCGGTATAACTGGCTCTCCGTTTGGTAAACGCGTTATGGCAGGTTTCGTAGGTAACGCTATTGTTGTTTTTGTGATAGAATTATTATATGCAAACTGATCGATTCCTTCTTGCATCAGCACATTATTATTACTATTTAGATTTATGTTGTCTCCTGGTGGTTGCAACAATCCTAATGGTTCTTCACCTGATAAAGCTACAATATTAACAGGACCTGGTGTGAGCTGTGGTACATAATATTTTGCTTTTAATATATCCATAAGACGTACTAAATGACTTTCACTCTTTTTATATTCTTTTTGAGCATCAGCTCTTAATTGATTCAGCTGTGATATACGATTTTTGTGCAGTGGAAATTCGATTTGTGAACATAGCAAGAAATACGTAAAAAAAGTCCAAACTATAATAAAACCCACAATAGCAAAAACTTTTTTTGTACGCATTTTAGGTAAACGTTGTGGAAAGGGTGAGATTATTTAATTACGTTGCACTTGTGGATGTAAGTTGAGATTCATAGTATCGTCAGTTAGAGGCGTTATTATATTTTTATTTTATTTGAGCAAAAACATCAATAATTGAGCTTCACTTCGTTGCTTTTAGATGAATTTGAGTAATATGTTAATTATTATTAAGTATATCAATATGTTAACAGATTTTACAGCATAATTCCACTAATTCATATATATTCTGAAATAAAAAAAACTTTAATATCAAACACATCATTATAATAGAATTATAATTATTAATTTAGAATATAGAAAACATTTATTTCTATGCGACATTTAATACCTTCCATTCTGTAATCAATCGCCTAACTGCTACTACTAGATTCATTTAGCTCAATTTTCTTTCATTTTGTTCTATTATAATTAGCCTCACTTTTTGCTCTATTTTATTCACATATTTTCCAGCTCAGCGCTTCTTCGTTGTCAATTGCAGCACCTAAAATATTTAATCACTGGCCCCCAGCTGATGCCAGCGCTGGCTTATTTGGTCCAATTTCAAATGCACACGTTGCTTTTATGCTTAAGTTCGTCTATTATTAATTTCTCTTTGAATTAATCTGCAAAAACAACAACAATTTATTCGTTTGTTTATTATTGTTATTCTTAGTTCTGCCGATCTTAAATTTTTATTATATTATATTTAACAATAATAACATAAAAATCTTTAAAATAATTACTTTAGTATTCTTCAAATTAACATTAGAAAACATAATTTTATTAAATTATTAATTAAATACACAATTAAAAGTTTAAAGAGATATTACACTTACTGCAAAATTTTACTTTTAATTTTTTCTATACTTATTCTCGCAGCTGTTTCGTTTCTTATGTGCGTCAGCTGTTAGAGAAAATGTTCGGAAGAGCAATATTGACAGGGCTGCCGTGTGCGTCAAAATCAGAATTTTATGGTAGGTTTTGCGAAAAGTTACTTTTTCTTATTGACTACAATAGCGTTTATTCATTTACAGCATATAATTCAGTGCTTACTCTGCGAGATTAATATAGCATTTACACTGGCCTTAAATGACTAATTTGGATCAAATATCACAAATGAAAAGCAAATGACTTATTTCGCAAACAAAATCGCATATGCGAAAATGAGATTATACTGGCACAATTTTGTACAAATGCATTCCAACAAGTTTCAAATGAGTTTCAAATACGTTCCAAATGCCAACAAATATATTGAACATGCCCTAAATAAAAGTATTTCATTGCATTATGACAGTTTGATAAAGCTGTTTTTGACATATTTACAAAAAAAAGGTAAACAAATATTTAATGATTGCATTTCTTTGAAAACGACATACCACGGAAAATAAAGAGTTGGACGTACGTAGTTACAAAATCAATATAAGATTACATAAACACTGTCTCATTTAGCTACTTGTTCATTTTTATAAATAAAGCTGCATTTGTTTACAGCTCAATTGTTTGGTTACTTTTTATACATAAAACATGTGACACATATTTAAAACTTTAGAGATTCCCCTAGGGAAAAATTTATTTTTAAAGGTTGTATTAGACATTTTTTGCTTTAAATGAGCTGATTTATTAATAATAAGTTCATTTATAATAAAGATTTTCGTATGGTAAATCATCCTCATTAGTGACTACAATGATCAAAACCGCCTAAATAAGACAGTGTGAATGTTTTATAAAAAACATGACCTGTAAAGCATGTGAAAAGACTCTGAAAAAGATATCGAATACATATAACCTCAGTAAGTAAAATAAAGACTACGATATTCAGATATTTATCTTAAGTGTTCAGGTATTCTATCGAACTGACAGAAACTGAATATGATTTTTTGTGTGACATTATTCTGGCACTAATAAATTTCATATATATTTTCTTTCTATAATTACAAAGAAATTAATCTGTACGAGCACAATTTAGCATAAATACTAACAATAAATAATAGTCCACTTATGGAAACTATATATTTAAATAATGAACATTATTGCTAGTAACACATGGAATATTTATTTAGTTTGCTTTCTGTTCTCCAATGTATTATCTCTTCTT